TCTGTCTTACTAGTTTATCTTGGGATACAGGTAATGTTTGTCTTAGGTTTTAATTTATACACAGTGTGACTCAGTGTTGTGAACTTTGAGAGCATTCAGCATTCCAAAAGTTTCACAACTATGACACAAAACCACCTATCACTTCATAGATGCTTCTTGCTGACATTAAGCAAGCTGATCTTGGCAGTGTCTGAGTTTTTTCTCAGTGCCTCTCATTCACAGTAGTCATGTCAAGCCCCCATGAGGTAGCCCCTCACTGTCATCTCTGCCCTGCTTTCTGGTGTCTGTTTATTGCCTTGTGCTGTTATTTGTGCAGAAGTTTTGAAAACTGCTGATCTGTTAGGATGGCGAAGACTTGTTTGGTCTGTCTGAAAAGTTTTACCTGATGGATGTTCAGTTGAGTTCCATTTTTATATCTTGAACAGAGCTACAGTTGAGAATTTCCTCTTGCCACAGCAATCTTCTGTAGCCCTCAGGATCCAAGTTCTAACAGTAGTAGATGCCCATATAAAGTTCACATCTGAGGTTTTAGTTAGCTGCAGTCAGCACTAGTTCAAAAAATTGTAGAAGTAAACAATTTGTAAGTGTCATGTGCCTTTCTGCATAGCCTGGTAAAGTGCATGCTGTCTCAGGCTGTAAATCATTCCTTTGTCCAGCATTTCCATACCATACACACTATTAGTCTACCTGTTAGTCATTTGTGCTATAGTACTTGATGATACTGACAGTGTGAACGTGCCAGCTTTAAGAGAAAGGGGCTAAAAGTTCTCAGTGAAGAAAAGAAACAGCTGGGTGGTGGTGGTGCATGCCTTTAATCCCAGCACTCAGGAACAGAGAAAACTTTTTTATTTTATTTTTTTAAAAAAACATAAATAAATAAATAAATACTACTATGTGCCATGGGTTGCTAAGATCTTATGGTAATACTGCTAATCCTTTATTGTGTCTAATATAATTTCAGTTTATCATGTGGAGGGAAATATACTATATATGGGGTTCGGGGTACCTGGGTTTGGGTTTTAGGATCCACCAAGAGTATTAGAGGGTCCCTCCCTGACTAGGGATGAGGGTGTACTAAGGGCGAGGTAGATTTGTCCTGTCTTTGACATCATACCTCAGAGAGACTGACATCACACACACACTGGGTACTGCCAGCCACACTGATCTCCTCCCATGCTTTCATTCTGTGTGGGAAGGGCAGACTAGAGGAGCCAAGATTTAGTTGTTTGGACATACCGCAGTCTTAGATTCATCACTTCTGAGTAACGCCCTCTCACCTAAGAGGAGCTTTTATTGGAGGAAGTCTCAAGTACGCAGCAGGGTGTTTGCTATGTTCACTACAGTTTAGCATGTGTCCATATTTTTGAAGAACCAGAAAGTAGAGTAAATAACACATATGGAGAAGGGACTCTTGACTTTTTTTGCCTAAAAACTAACTACAGGTAGGTTTTTAAGATTTGCTGTTGTGTCCACAAGGTGGCAATATATATATATATAATCTGATCATTGCAATCGAATCTATATATTACATTAAGTCATGTGAGTTAACTCAATGATTTTACAAATCAGTGGCTTGAGTAGCTGACAGTTAATAATTTGAGTCTTTTATTATGTTTTCTATCACAGTAGCCCTATGTAAGACCTAAGTAAGTTTCATTTCTGATCAGGTTATTAATGTTGAAGAAAATTTATTTTGTTTGTTCATTAATTTATTTTGGTTTTTCAAAACGGTTTCTCTGTGTAGCCCTAACTGTCCAAAACTTAACTCTGTAGACCAGACTGACTTCAAACCCAGAGATACACCAGCCCCTACTTCTTAAATGCTAGGGTTAAAGGCGTGCACCATCACACCCAGCTAGTTGAAAAAAATTTTAATCTAAAGTTTTCATGCAGGCTTCATGTCCTTTGAGCCAATTTGTATTTTCAGGTTTATTAAGCAAAAAAAAAACATATTGTAGCAGGTTTGAAGCAGAACACATGGTTACTAAGTCAGTGACTTGGTTGTGTTTCACTCATATGCAGGGAAAAACAGCTAATAATTTTATTGAAATTTGAAAAAAGCAGATCTGGTTATCTCCTTTGAGAGTAAAGGAGGTCAGAATGTGACCGTGATAGATGATGATAGATAGTTATTTTTATTTTGACTGCTGTTTCTTCCCCTTAGCCTGAGGCAAACATAAGAAAATTGGCTTAATAATTGCAAAGTTTAACTTTGGTTCTCAATAATTACAGTGAGATCCAAGAAAAAATTTAAGATTAATTTTCTTACTGAAAAATTTCATTTTCAGCCTATTGAGTGTGCTTCATGGTATGGCAGCCATGCAGGTGCTGCTGGGCAGAGTACAAATTTTGTTTATTAAGTTGTAGAGAATTTTTTCTACTTTGGGTTAAGAATTGAGCTGTTCTTATAATGTACTTTAGTATTCACTACTGTAGCAGAGGGGGCCTCTTGACATTTTGGAGGCTTTGGATTTGAGGTGAAGAGCTATAAAAGGTAAAATAGTCTCTGAGAATCATGGACCCTCTTTTGTTGTACAGAGAACAAATTAATAACATCATGGACGGTCCTTAGACAAATACATACATTAAGTAGTTGAGTAAAATGGTAGATAAGATAAATCAGCTAATTCTCTTAAGAGGAAGAAGATTTGTTTGACATGGTGGAGCCTGTGAAAAGTGACTTTAGTTCAGTGGGTGGCAGGAGGTTAAGAAAAAACATGATCTGTACAAATTGGAAGAAGCTGAATTAGGAATCTGAGGCCAGAGCGCAGCTGCTAGTTGGGATGTGAGTTGGTGAGTAGAGGAATGGCCACCTAGCCTCTCCGTGCTCTCACCAGCCTCAGCTCCTGCTCTACTCTCTTGATGGCATGTATTCTTTGACCATGTTTCTGTGGTCGCCTATTGTGCCTTTTCTCAGGGTCCCTGCTGCTGAGGCACTGTCTGTGTTTGAGTCACTGTGCAGCCATGGGTAAGCAGCTGCTCTAGAAAGTTTCTGCTCTTTCTGGACCCCTCCTCCATCCCCATCACCTGTCTGTTTTTCACTGTAGCAGTAACACCGAAGAAGATACAGTCCTCCAAACCAACAAGCAGATTTACTCCCAGCTTTTGAGAGCAACTGCCAACAGAAACTCAACTCTGCTGGAAAGAATTGAAGTCGTCATCTGTTTGCTGGAGCAGCTTGCATCTGGGAGCAGTGTGTCAAACAGCAGTGCTGCCCCCTGACCCAGAGTTGTACCTGAGGACTCTGTCAGTGCCTTCCCACCCCGGAGCTGTTCTGTCCACTCGGTGCTGAGTCTATTAAATATGAGGAAATGCCCTTTAAACAGTGGAGACTCGTTTCCCACAGCAGGCAGAGGATGTGGGGTGGTTTTTGGTTTCTTCTTTGAAGGTGAAAAGCCAAAATAGAACCAAAACCTTCCCAGTGTGTTTCCTAGAAAAGTATAGGATTCCTCAGTATAGCAGACGTCCTAGGACACAATTACACTTGCAGGTGTCTTGAAGTCTGTTAAACCACTGGGTGGAAGATAAGATTATTTTGGATAAAATGTTAACTTTGGCCAAGAAAACTTTTATCCATGTGACTTTACAGGTTCAAATGGCTAGTAGAAACTCAGCACATCAGCATTTCCTTGTAAACTGCACAGAAAGTACACTTTCTAAGCTGTGGTACAGGATTTTTCAAAACTTGATAATTGTGCAGGTCTCCAGTCAGTGCATGTTCTGAAAGGACTCACCTCTTTGACTTTCTGTGACATTGGTAAAGAATAGGTACTATCACTTTTTCATTCTAAACTTGAAACTGTGAATAAGGTAAGAGAACTATTTTCAATAAATAAGCTATTTATTTAACATATCTTGGTATTTTCCACTTGCATTCTTCACACTGCTGTGATTTGATTTGAATGTGATTAGCAAAACTTTATGAGGTACATCATAGATGATGATGGTTGAGGCAAAGGTCTGCCACCCATTCCTGCTCCTGAAGCATCCTGCTTGTGCTCTGGGGATCTCAGCCACTTGCGTTTATACTCTCCTGTTCCCAAAGCCAACCGCATACAGGCTGTGGCTAATAGTTTGAAGGGAGTGTGCAGCATGTAAATCAAGCAGACTTTTGCTTGGGTGTACTCGGGTGTCCAGCCACTGTGCGGCCCCTCCCATACCAGGCACACTTGCATCTGTGGGTTTCTCTCACTTGAGCTGGCCTCCATTGCAGCAAGGCAGATTCTCTCGCATTTGCCTAGTTCCTTGTTTGGTTTGCATTGTTCTTGGAAGCAAATTTTCATCTGTTTATGATAATTAATCACCAGAACCCTTAAAGTTTTGGTGAAATTGTAAAGCTTTTGAACCAACTCACCAGCCCCATTTCAGGACTCCTGTGTTCTTTGCCCCTGCAGAGAGAGTGCACACAGTAACACACAACCCTTCCTCTACAGGAGAGACCTGGCTGCTTCCATTCAGCATAGCACCTCTGTAGCAGATGAACTCAATAGGATCTCTCCCTGCTTCCCTAGAGATGAGCTAGGGTGTTAGGACTGCTCGTCTCCTAGCCCCTCTCCTTAGCTGAAAGCCTTCAGGTAGACGGAAAATGATTTTTAATCAAGGAAATAGAAATTTTGGCTCTTTCCCTTTGTCATAGCAATAACATGAAAATTCTGCAGAAGAAATAGAAGATCCTTCTCAAATGTGTTGTAATTACTTACATTGGTTTAATTAAAGTTTCCTGAAGTGCATGTGTTTTAGCTGTTCCTTTAAAAGACTCTGTGGCCTGACCACTCAGGTCTCTGAACCTTGTTCAGTTAATTTCATTGTTCAGATACCATCATTATATGACAGTAGCTTTGTGTGTTAAATCATAAGCCGGCCAGGTAGTGGTGCACACCTTTAATCCCAGCACTCACACTTGGGAGGCAGAGGCAGGTGATTCTGAGTTTGAGGCCAGCAGGGCAGCCTGGTCTCTAGAATGAGTTCCAGGACAACCAGGGCACAGAGAAACCCTGTCTTAGAGGGAAAACAAAAAACAAAAAAACTAGAAGCATCTCAATACTAATTGTGTGTGTGTATGTGTGCGTGTGTGTGATGCCAGTGCTGATGGTGGAGACTAAAGGTGTTCATAATCCCTATTTTGTGGAAGTTAAAAGATAATGCCTATCCTAGATTAGGAAAATTACAGTTACCCAGCTAGCTTTCAGAGCCTTGTTCTGGCCTGGCCTACAGGACATAAACAGTTAACTGTTTACTGCTTTGTGGGAAGAGAAGACCACTAAACTAATTAGGGTGCGCCAGAAGGGCCATGCTCTGCAGAGCCACAAGCAGTTGGGGTCAGGCCATGTGCACAGACATGATTCATTTGGCAGCAGGAGACCACTGCAGGGTGCAGACATGTAGGACTATCTGTTGTGCCAGCCGGATAAGACGAAACATACTGGGGCCCTTTGGTTCGTGTCAAATGTTAAACATATCATTGTGACATGTTTTGGAGTATAGTTAATTTCAGTTCTGTGCCCTAGCCTAGACCAGTCTTCAGTTTAAGTGCTGTAAAAGTCATTTCTGCACTGCAAAATGCCATGACCACTAGTGACACTATTGGGATGCAGAGGTCATGCGGAGTTGAAAGAAAAGATGTGGATTCTCTAGGGTAAATTATTTGATGTGTCTAAAAGATATTTTTTCCCCAAGTAGCTGATCCTTAAATCTATTTTTAAGGTTCAAGTAATGCTTTCCTGTTCAGTTTTAGCCTGGGAAGCCATATTTGCTTTAGCTACTAAGAATCTGGTTTGTTTTCTTTGCAAAGAAGTCTGACTTTTTCTCTTAGAGCTGTTCTGAGTCCCATCACTGTCTTGATTTTCCTGTTCTTGTTACATGTTCAGTGTAGAGGTATGAACATCACAAACATCAAACCACTTCTCTGAAATAGGTTTTTTTGGAAATAGGCCATTCAGAGGAAGCTGAGAGTTGTGTTGTTTGTCCTTGTCACTCACTACTTTCCAGTATGAGTTGCCCTTGAGAAAGAAGACAGAGCCGTGAGCATAGGAGTAGTAAGCTGAGTCAATGTTTCTGAATGGATGGTTTTGTGGCATTACTGCTGGAAACACCTGGCTCATCTTCTTTGGATAAGAATTAAGTACTTGGTTTTTGTTGACATCAAATGCAAATACCTGCAAAGTAAAGCACACAGACACTTTTCTGAGGATAGTTGACATTGAACTTAACTTACAGAAGGATCTTGATAGTTTGACTTTGCACTGAATTCTGTAGAAATTAGTTCTAAATATTTTCCCACCTGGTGATCTGCCATTGTTGTGTAGGTCTGAAGTGATAAGAACATCTTTTAACTAAGGACTCGGAGATGCAGTGATACTTACTAGAGACTCCTTGAAGAAGTAAATTAACTGCTGCCTCCGTTCATAAAAGGCGGTGTCCAAGGGGCTAGGGATGCCGGGGAAGCCTTCTGAAATAAGTTTGGGGTAGCTCTTTCCTTCTTCATCTTCTGTGTGTGCCTGGTCATTCTCGCTGTCATATCTCCAATATTGGTTTCCTGGGAGCCAACCCAAAACTGTCAATGTGGTATATTAATACCAGATCATGGCATGGGCCAGAAATATAAGCCGGGACTCCTGAACTCCACCCAAGTACGACTTCACCCACCATCCTAGGACAGATGGGCATATTACTTCGTGTCATCCCAAAGGGCAGCTGCCAATAGGTCCCAAGTCAGCCCTGTGTGGTACTCTGCCATAATTCCAGAAAAAGAAGGCTTTCTCACTCAACCATCTCCTTAGGCCTCACATGACTTCTTAGTTTGACCTCAGTAATGTTTGTCCTGCCCATCACTGCTGTGTTAGGATGCTAGTTGCCTCTCACAGTGAAAGCCCACAAACATCATGGGATATCTCTAGTCTTAATCTACAGACCATTTGTGGTGGTCTGAAAGAAAATGACTCCCAAAGGAGTGGCACTATTAGGAGGTATGGCTTTGTTGGGATGGGCATGACACTTGTTGGAGGAAGTGTGTCACTTTAGGGGTGGGCTGTGAGGTCTTGCTCAATCTATGATCAGTGTGGTAGAGAGTTCACTTCCTATTGCCTGTGGATCAAGATGTAGTGCTCTTGGCTCCTTCTCCAGCACTGTGTATGCCTGCATGCCATCATGTCCCATCATGATGATAATAGACTAACCGTCTGAAACTGTAAGCCACCCAATTAAATATTTTCTTTGGTAATAGTGTCATGGTGTCTTTTCACGGCAGTAGAAACCATAAGACAACATTCTTTTCCATGTTAGAGGAACCTAGCCAAGTTTGCTCATTTGATGATTTAGGGACCTTCCTAAGATGAGAAGATACAAGCCCTGCAGTCTGTCTAATTGCAAACAGGAGACATTACAATGAAACCTTGGTAAATGCTGGAAACATCCTGAATGCAAGTTGAGTGAGAGAAATAGAGCCAGACCTGAAGCATTGTTACCTTTAAAAAAATATCGCTCATCTTTTCCCCATGACCAGACATGGACAAAGGCATCTATGCTTTGCACGGGGATTCCACGCCAGCCAGTGAGGATTTGGAGAGGGTCCCCATAGCGAGTCCTGTTGTTGCGGTTTTCGTAGAGCCAGTACCAGCTATTGCGGAAGAAGTAGGTGTTGAACCTCACCCTCACCTCACCATATTGGTTCCTCTCCTTGCGAATCCAGTCAAACACTGTATCAAATGATCCCTCACATGAACCTGAAGAGGAAAAAAAAAAATTCCAGCCACTTGTCACTGCAAACACCAGCATTCATAATTGGGATGGAAATGACTACATGGTTAGCACTTCCTGTTGGAATATCTAAAGAGGCACCATAGAGATTGAGCTTTGAGTAGCTGGGTTTTAGAAAGCCACTCACAGGGTTCCCAGACTCAGACTCAGTCTGGATGCAGTTCTATAGCTACCCTAGCGCAGCTGGCCCATGCCTCTTGTTGGTCCTTCTGATTTCTTGAGAGGAAAGAGATTTAGTTCAGGACACACAAACTGCCATGCTTCCACTGGCGGAAACTGACATGACTGCAACAGGCTTTGGGTGTCAAGAATGGAAGCATGTGAGAACTGACCTGAGATGGGCTCTGTGAGGGCCTAGGAATGGAAAAGCTCTCCCTGTCTTGGGCATCTGCTGTAACCAACCAGTTTCTTTTCTTTTTCTTTAAGACTTTAAATTTTTAATTATATGCATGTGTATGGGTGCCCATGGGGGACAGAGGTGTTAGATCCCTAGAGCTGAAATTGCAGGTAGTTGTGAGCCTCCAGATGCAGGTGGTGAGAATTAAACCTCTGGAAGGCTGGAAGGCACTCTTAACTGCTGAGCCACCTCTCTGCCCCACCGTGTTTGTATCAAATAGCCGTGGGTGCCTGGTTTGTGATGAAGCTGCTGTCTGGAATCACAGCTTCTTACAGTGGCTCTGCAGTCACACAGCTCTGTGATGCTGAGGCATGGGGGCTCTACCTGTATAAAAGCCGTGATGTCCTCTGTCCTCACTAGTGTGTGAAAAACTGGGAGAGAAGAAGGCACAAAAGAGATTGTTGCTCTTCACCTGTGGCTGTCTGTGGTCTAGTGCGTTCACTTTAAGAGCCTGCAGATGGGGTTTGAGGGCAGCTCTTCATGCAACCGGTGCAGTTTGGGGACCCGCCTCCAAGTGAACCAAGTGGAGCCTGCTGGCTTTAGCCTCCTCAGTGCCCTCAGATGGATCAGCCCTAGGCCCAGCTTACCATATAGTCTTTGAATTGCTTTCCTGTCTGACCAGTCCAGCTCAAACGCAGGCTCCTGGGGAGTGTAGTTTGGTTGCATTATGGATCCTACTCTGTAGGTGTGAGGCAATCCAAGGACATGGCCAATTTCATGGACAGCTACCTAGGAAGGGAACACAAACCGCAGGTGTGGGACCAAACCTGAGTCTTTGAGGATGCAGGGTTCAGTCACTAAATTACAGAGGCCTGACCTATGCCCTTTCAGAGTTGTGCCTTCTTAGGAGAGAAACGAGGTGAGGACTGGGGAACCACCATCGGAGACTTCTAGAAGGTTATGTACACACCAAAGAAAAGCTGGGTTTCTGAACTTGTGCTAGGTGCTTTGCCTTCAAAGGCAGAGCAGTTGGAGCCTCTTACTTTGAGAAGGCTGATGCCCGTGTCGCTGGAGAGAGGGGTGAAGTGCTCATCGTCGTCAAAGTGGATCTCACCCAGGTGCCAGGCGTGTGCAAACTCCTGTCCACTCCCATCAAATACCCTTGGACAGCCCAGGTGCCGGCCTGGTGTGGGGAGAAGGGTGGATAGCAGTGAATGGAAGTGCCCATCTTAAGTCCCTTTTTGACAGTGCCAGTCTCCAGGAGCTAGTGAGGTCCATGGAAGAAACCAAGCTGCTGAGTGTGAACAGGGTGGCTATAAAGACTTAGAAACAAGCTGGGTGTGCACGTGCACACCTTTAATCCCAGCACTCAGGAGGCAGAAGCAGGTGGATTTCTGGTTTCTGAAGCTAGTGTGGTCTACAAGCAAGTTCCAGGACAGCCAGGGCAACACAGAGAAACCCTGTCTTGAAAAAAAAAAAAAATAGCAAAAAAGACTAGAACCATCTTGAAACATCTTGATACTATCTGCTCGGTGTGTGTGTGTGTGTGTGTGTGTGTGAGTGATGGTAGTGCTGATGGAGGAGACAACATTGGAGGTGGGGACCTCAAGGTCAACATCTCTTAAATCTATACTTGTGTCTTGTGTATTCTAGAATTAAAAAATTAACCCAGAGAGAGAGCGAGCAGCAAGGTGTATGAGAACACCTCTAGTTCACAGATGGACTGTGGAAGTCGGGTATTTGTCCAATCTGCCAGCAAGAAAGTAGAGCTTTCATGTGTCTTCACACAGTCAAGTAGGCTGTACCCGCTGCTGTTCCATGTGACCAGGAGAATGGGGGTGGGTGATGGGCTGGGATGTGCTCCAGGCAAGTGAACCCCAACAGCTAAGAAGACTTGAGAATCTACCGAGAGTAGGTTCCACCCTCTTAGGTGTCATCTCTGAAGAAGCCCAGCAGGTAGGACTTGGGATCACACCAGTCTGGGTGACAAAGCAATCAAGTTGTGATTGACCCAGGTTGCCATGGGCCTGATACTGGGCATGGGGCTTTGGTGGAAGAATCAAAGACTGCCTGCAGAATAGATAGGAAGAGATGCCACCTTTGTACCCCTTACCTCTCCCAAAACCCAGCTTTATGTCCACCATAGTGCCAGGGGCAGTGAGGTCCTCCCGGAAGTTCAGTGGTGTCACCTCACTCCACATCCTGAAGGCCAGTCGAAAGATATATCTCTGCTCTTCCACAGAGAGTTGGCTGCTGTAGGCATCCCCGACCAGCCTCCAGGTCAGCGTCTTCCTGGAGAAGGCCCTCCTAGGCCCAGTGTCTAAAGTGCCCTCATGTTGCCCACCTGGCTTGGGCAGCAGCATTTGGAGGAAGCGCTTTTGACGGGCCCTGGGCCGGAGACCCAAAGGGGTTGCCAGGACTGATGGGGTTGGCAGAGCAGCCTGAGGTGGCAGCCTTGTGTCAGGGATGCCACAGCGTGGCCTGTTCATAGCTGCCAGTGTAGGTGAATCTAGTTCCCCGCTGGCTGGCAGTCTGTTTGCCTTCTGGAATCTCCGCACAGCTTGAGCCAAGGTGGAGCCCAGAGGGACCCCTGGTGACTCCTTTGAACTAAGCACCTCTGACCAGCCATATTTCAATAGGAATCTCTGTGGGAAAGAAAAGCCCTAAATTCATAGGGTTGCCAACATTTTTCCTGAGCTATAGGGGATAGGGAGGGGCATGGGGATATAGAGAGTGGAGTTAGAGACAGAGGACATCATCCAGGGCCTACCAGAGTAAAGTAATGGATGCCGCATGGCCTATGGAGAAGCAGGGTTGAAGCAGGCCAGGTAATAGGACTGGGAGGTAAGAGGTCAAAGGTAAGAGGTCAGGGCTGGAGGTGGGTGCACACTGTGAGCTGAGGAGCTGAGAGGGAGGCCTCCCCAGGAAGAAGAAACTCCCCAACTCCAGGGATTAGGCAAGAATCATTCTGAGAGTCTGGCGGGCTTCTAACCCACAAGGACAGGGAAGGCAGGGGCAGGAAGGGTGTGTCTTGGCATCTGAAGGAAGCTTGGCCCATCATCGCTTCTCACTGCCCTCCACCCTGGGGGCACCCTGGAGCCAGGAGTTTAGGGGGAAATTTGATCATCTGTCTGCTTGTGGAGCTTGGTAACCACCAGACTGCAAGGGTGGTCAAGGAGCAGGAGATCTGCTCAAGGCCTCTCCAACCCATGACTCCTGTGAAAGGGAGCCCTGGTCTTCTTGTATCAGTGGATGCCACTCAATAGCACAGTGCAGGCAATCTTTGCTGGAACTGTTCTTTCTATGCCCAGGCTGGCAGGTGTCAACCAAGGGATGCCATCAGCAGAGTGCCTGGAAGCACTGCACACTCGCATTCAAATGTCCCACCCGACATTTAGAGCACAGGGCTGATCTTGCCTAGATGCTGAAGCTGCTAGGATTAACACCAGAGGGAGCCAGGTGCAGCTCTGACAGAGGTAGAGGTGCTTGCCTGGCTTGTGCAAGGCCCCAGGTGTCATTCCCAACTCCACAAAGACGACACCAGGTTAAGCAGGCTCTCTGCCTCTGCACAGCCATCCTTCCATGTTATGCTCTGGTGTCTACATGTGCGTGCATGCGTGAGTGTGTGTGTGTGTGTGTGCGCGCGCGTGCGCATGTGTGTTATATACTGCCTGTGCACACAGATGCTGCTGCTCTGTGGTCTCCTCTTACCTGAGCAGCATGGAGGTCAGCAATGGGCTTGGCCTGACTCAGAGGAGATGGCTCCAGGTCCGAACGGTCCCGGCTGTGGAAGAGTCTCTCATGCTGGGTGGGTTGGGGCGCAACCAGCCAGCAGAGCAGCAGTGTCAGACGCAAGGCAGAGGCAGCAAGCATGGCCCCACTGGGACACTCTTGATCCTACCTTGCTGCGTCCCCGTCTCTCCTCTGAAGGAGCAGAACATGGTGGGACCCTTTTATAAGCAAGCAGGCATTCTTCACCCAGCTCTGAAGTGTGCCTGCTAGGAAGCTGCTTCTGTGGCCCTGGTGAGCTGCCTTTGAAGACCCCAGGGCTCCTTTTCTCATGAGCGTGAGAACTCCGCTTCCTCTGTTCTTGGGGTATGGTACTTTGAGAGGTGAGCCTGTGGATTGCTCTCCTGTATTGACTTTCCTGGTCGAGTTTGCTCCTAAGCGAACTGAGGGAGAACATGCGGGATGCATGCACCTGTGGGGCTGTGAAGGCCCTGCCTGAGCCCTACAACGTGCCTTTTAGGATTCGGGCTGCAGCTTTCAAACCATAACCCTCAGTTTGCTCCTATTCAGGTCGCTTTTTTCTGGGCGGTCTAGGGCTTAGGGCATGTTAATTTGTTTTTAGACTTTGTTGCCATTTTTCTTCTTACTGGTTGTTTTTCTTTATGGAGAAGAAAGTATGTCTAGGGTGGCAAGATGGCTCAGCAGGTAAAGGCAATTGCAGCCAAATCTGATGTCCTAAATTCAATCCCTGGTGTCCTAAATTCAATCCCTGGCCCCACATGGTAGGAGAGAGCCAATTGCTGAGAGTTGCTCTCTGGCCTCCCTGAGCATACTCACTGTTTGCTGCCCAAATAAATAGTAAATAAATAATATAATTAAAAATAGAATGTCTAATCAGCATATAGAAAAGTAAAACTTAAAACCAGTGCAAGAAAAGGGGACTGAGCTCCTGTGGTGGGGCAGGGCCATGGTGACTATTTTTGCAGACACATATATTTATGAAAAGTGTATGTATGTGTGTCACAACTCCATGGAAGCTCTGGGTACCTGAGTGTTCCTGAACACAGGTACTTACTGAGGAGTCCCAGTCCGTGGTGAGTCTGTGGGGAGAAACTAGGACCACTGAGGCCTACAACATAGCATACGCAACCTGAGGGAAGAAGAGGCAACCCTTCAGTCCCTGGAATCTAGAACTGAGCCTGGAAGCTCATGTCAAAGACCACGCACAGGTTCCCACCTGCACCCAAGCCTGCCTTGCCCATCTTGAAGCCTTGCTGTGACCAGAGCCATTTGGCACCAGGGATGGAAGACCATACATGAGGCATTTATAGTTTGGAGACAACGTTCAGTAAATGCCTCCCCCAAGATGGTGAGGACCCTCCTGTTCTGCTGCCGTCAGTGTTTGTCTCTCCTTCAGATTCCCTGGGAGCAGTGGAACCCCCTACTCCATCTCTTCCACTTTCTTTTTAAACTCTGCCTTGGTGGCTTTCTCTCCCTCCTCCAACACCTCTGTGCCTGCCATGGGAGTCCAGCTTCTCTTTGTCAGGTGTTCGGCCTATTCCAGAGCCCCGAGAGGCTCACTTCTGAAGGTCCCGCATCCTCTAGCCTGTTTTCCTTTGGAGAGGATGTACTTGTCCTTCCACTACATTCCGCTTTAAGGTGACCACTGTCAGAGAAGGTTCACAGTGCATCTGTGACCATCAGATCAAAGCCTCCAGCCTTGAAAACGCTGGAAAGATGGCTCAGTGGTCAAGAGTACTGGCTGCTCTTCTAGAAGACCTGGGTTCAGTTCCCAGAACTCACATGGCAGTTCACAGCTGTCTGTAACTCCAGTTCCAGGGGATCTGACATCCTCACACATGCAGGCAAAACACCAAGGAACACAAAATAAAAAATCTTTTTTTTTTTTTTTAATGAAACAGAGATCTGTTCAATGAGCATCCTGAGAGGAAACATGATCCCGTGGTATAGTATCCCATCAAACAAGGGCTTCCTATGGAGATTTTAACTAAATGTAATTTTAGAGTCCTGTTCCTCACCGCTTTGCCTTAGCCAAAAGTACAGAAATGAAGCGAACTTTCCTAATATGTGCTTGGTGTGTGGGTGTGCATGTGAAGGTCAGAGGACAACTCTGGGGGTCACTTCTGTCACCGTTACGTGTTTCAAGAACTGAACTCAGGTTGCCAGGCTTGCATGGCAAGGGTCTAGAAACAGACTATCAAGACCTGCTGGCACTGCTGACATGGCAGCTGTACCTTAGCTCCACAGGGCCAGTCTGCCGTGGCCTAAGTTCCCTGTCCCTTGCATGGCCGGATGGCACTGTAATCTGATAGTTCCTGCTAGAAAGGGGCAGTCAGTCAGTACATTCCTGGCCCTGGGGCTCCTGCACGTATGACACAATGCTTTCAGGACACCTAAGGCTGCACGCGAAGGTGCTGCCAGCGCCCTTAGCACTGACTGTGGTGCCTGTTCTTCCCCCAAGAGGCATCCTCCCAGAAAAGGGCTCCTTGAGAAAGTCAACAGTGAAATGTGACTCTCAAGTCAGAAAGTCTGTGCTAGGTTTGATCCCATGCAAAACAGCCAGGGCTCACCACTGCACCTTTGTTACGGCACCTCTGTTCCCTGTCCGTGTATGAAGCTCTTTGCAGTTCCTGCTTAGCTCAGTGTGGCCTGAAAGTCCAAGCAGCCCTCATACCCTTGTAAGCTTTCCCCTCCACGTTAGTTGTGCAACAACAGGAGGAGCATGTTTAAGAATAAGGGTCACACTGAAGTCAGAAGTCAGAGACCACAGTTCCCCAATTCCCTTCCCAGAGCACACGCCAGTGACTTGGTTTCCTAAAAGGCCCCGTCTCTTTTAAGATTTATTTTCTTCTAGAGGTTACATGTATGTGTGTGTGGAGAGAGTGTGTGTCTGTGTGAGTGCTGATGCCTGTGAAAGCCAGAAGAGGAAGCTGGATTCCCTGCAGTTACATAGGTTGTGAGCCACTTAACATGGGTGCTGGGAAATGAACGGAAGAGCAGTAAGTACATGCTCATAGCCACTGAGGCACCTCTCTGGCATGAGACCTTTTTAAAAAATTTAACATTTGTTTAATTATGTATAGAGAACCACGGCATGTGTTGGGGTCAGAGGACAACCTGTGGGAGCCAGTTCTCTCCTTCCAGAGACTGAGCTCAGTTATGAGGGTTGGCCCCAAGGCCTTTAACCCAGTCTCTGAACCAACTTGCCAGGCCTATGCCCAACCTTTTAAAGATTCCATGAGGTTCTGAGGACCAAGATCCTACCACATCAAACTTTGAGGGATACATTGTAAAGCATTCCCACACCCTTCCTCCTCTACTGTGGCAATGATATGAGGATTTCAGGGTGCTCTGAGGACCGGTCCAGACCCTATATGTAAAACAAATGGCATCAGGCTGGGCAGGGTGTGCCCTCAGGGAAGATGCCTTCTAACCTGGCCTTCCATGAAGACAGCTCTGCCTGTGCAAGCCATCTTCCCTACCACCAGCCCACAGCCACATTCTTAATGCAGCTCAAATCTAGGCCAAGACTGCCTAAGTCAGTGGTTCTCAACCTTCCTAATGCTGCGACCCTTTTATACAGTTACTCATGTAGAGGAGACCCACCAACCATAAAATCATTCTCATTACTACTTTATAACTGTAATTCTGCTACTGTTATGAATCATGTAAATATCTGATATGCAGGATGTCTGATATATGTCCCCTCTGAAGGGCCATGACTCACATGTTGAAAACTACTGGCCTAGAAGAAATAAAGTTTGGGGACAGACTTTTCAGAACCTCTTTCTGCGGAGTGCTACATTTCTATCTTCTCTTCCTCTTCTTTCCTCTACCTCTCCAAAAGCAGTTAGCCTGATGGATATTCTGCAGTTGTATTTCAGGAGATAAAATCTTCATATTTGAAGCATAATTATCCACAGCAAAAGTCAGAACTTTAGGTCTTGTTTATTTTTATTTGGATTTTTGAGATGGCATCTCACTATAAAGGCCTGGCTGGCCTTAAGTGCATAGCTGTGTTGTCTCCATCTCCATTCCCTTGAATGCTGAGATGATGAATGTGTTACCATGCTTGGCTCAGTCTTTTTTTTTGTATAATAAATAAACATTTCACAAATAGCAATTTATCATTCTTAACCAGGTCAGCATCAGAGAAAGACCATGTATGTTGCCCCCGAACACAGCTTTGCACCAAGACCACACATGATAATATTGGGCTGGAGTGATGGATCAGTGATTGAAAGTACTTATTTTCTAAGAGGATCTGGGTTCAATTCCCAGTACCCCCATGGGGATGCACAGCTGTCTCTAACTCCAGTTCTCGGGGATCTGACATCCTACCCTTGCTTCTGCAGGCATCAGGCATGCACATGGCACAGAAATATAGATACAGACAAGACCCCCCATATGCATAAAAAAGACAATTAAAAAAGAAAGTGGGCTGCACCATGTGGATGATTTCATTTCCTTTTTTCTAGGCTCGGGAAGCTCCCCCAGGGTCCAATGGCCAGTGTACACCTGGCCTGGGTTCCAAGCTGGACTCCATGAAGACAGTGTATGCTGACAGCAGCTTCTCCAGAGCCCTGATTCCGGGCTCTGTCCTAGAGGCTGCACAAGCTGCACTGTGCACGAGAGGAAGGAGCTGGCCCAGCACGGCCTCAGCAGCAGCTGTCCGGCTGCAGCACTTTCCTGATGCCTGCAGCCAGGGCTTGTGGGGTGGGACTCTCCGCTGTGCAGCTCACAGGCAGGCCCTGGGCAGCCATAGCACGAGTTGTACTGGGGCCAATGGCTACAAACTGCAAGGAGGCAAGACACAAGAGACACAGCTTCAGTACCACAGCAAGGGCCGTGTGCAGGCGGCATCTGGACAGACTTTCTGTTAAGATGCCATTCCTGTGTGATGTTTCATATAAACAACAGTGCCACCTAATCTGAAGCTGGCTTCAGGGTCTGCACAATCCCTTTAGTCAGAATCTCACTATCACCTCCTGCTGCAAGTGCACATGTCCTTGGGACTGGGTGTGTGGGGACGAAGCCTGGGGTAGACACCATCTTCCTCAGGGGCTCCAACTGCAGACGGTTCTGCTTCAATTTCAGGGGCTCTAGGTGGGAACAGCTGGGGAGTATGGGGTGCCAAGGTGGGTCTGGATCCCCAGGAACACAGAACACAGTCATAAGCTGGAAGGTCAGGGTTCAGATCCCGGCATCCACTCCCTCTGCCCCCACCTTATCTCCAACCAGGCTGTCCACTGGGCTGTTGGGGGTTACATGAGGTGGCCAGGGTGAACTACTTGTTCAGTGCTGGGCACAGGCATATGCTCACTGACAGATGTGTGACTTCTAGATGCACAAATGGCCACCTCACAGACCATGTAGTCACTGAGAAGACAGGAACAAAAAAAGAAAATGCAGTGGCTTTCATTTGTTGGCAGGTGCCATAAAGTTCTCAGTGCTCTGGCATGGCTCCTTTGTGGTAGTCTATGTGAGTCAGCCATAAGCACAGGTAAGCACAGGTCATAGGTTACCCCTTAACTTTCTGTGAACCCCTGCACTTTCAATAGCACTGTATAAACACTGGGTCTTCTACACACTCCTACAGAGGAAGGAAGGCCACTGTGCAAATCTGAGGCAGAGCTGAAACAAGAATGCCAAACCACCCAATGCATGGATCTCAGGATTCTGCCCTCTGTCAACCTCAACAGCACCCAAGTGGGCTGGCACAAAGTCCCAATGATGAAGGAAGACTCCCATTAATAGGCTTTCTGGCTCTGGAATAACTCAGAGTTGTTATCAGTGTTACCCCGGAAACCCTTTCTCTTCTGGCAGCTACAGAGCCCAAGGCCCCAGCAGCATCTTTAAGTCCTGGTGTGGTGCACTGAACAGTGGCAGTATGGTGACTGGGGGATGCCAGGAACCCATGGTTGCAGAAAGGAATGGGACAGATTTAAGATGGGCACCTTCGCTATGCCCCAGCTGCTCTATGAGTCTAGACAGTACTGGCGGCAAAGCCCAAGTGTCCATTTTGCTCTAACTTGGGTTTGCTTAGGATGGGGACAGAGTAAGGTTTTCGTGGTATGAGTTCTTATTAAGGTAGACCAGCATGGTCAGCCCAGGTGAGTTCGGAGGCATGTTCCCATCAGTAAGCTACTCAGGCACTTCACGGTTACCTGGTGACTCATCCACCACGTCCACAGAGACGCATGTGAGCAGCAACAGCACTGTTGCTAACCCTTCCCGGTGCCCAAGAGCTCCCTTAGCCAGTGACCATGCTGAGCACCCACGGACCTTTCTCTTCAATTCTGCTACAGGACTCAGGTGTCACCTTCCTCCCCTAGTAACCCCTCATAGAAGTTGGCCTTCTAGTAGTGTGCTCTATGATGCTGGCAAGGTGTTGAAGCCTGTAAGGAGGGTTTCCCGGTAAGGAGGACAGTCACCGCCATCCTGCTGGATCCCCACAACCAGACTAGCACAAGCTATGACTTGAAGAACTTTGACCAATGCCCGGCAACTGCTAGGATCATGGCTATGTATCACCGCAGCCTGACACGTATCTTCCTGGGCTCTAACCAAGGCGTTGTCCTTTTCAGCTGTGTGAACTAGGGCAGGGCTCAGCTGCTCTGCACCTAACGTTCCACCTTGAAACTGGGCAGTCTGAGGTCGGGTGGGACACACCTGTGAGAAGATGCAGCTGTGGTAAGCCCAAGTGTTGGAGTCACCTGACTGAAGTGAGCGGGGCGGGGGGGGGGAGGAAACCTACTGTCCCTGGTTTCTAGGCCACATTTTGTACCTTCTCCTCGGTCCCTGTAGAGTCAAAGGCACTTCTGTTGCAGGTGCCACAAGAGTTATGTTAAAGACTCGTAACAAATACAGTCCCAGAGAGTGTGAATGGGAATCCTTTAAGTAACAACAAAGACAGATGTTTCTAGACTAGAAAACCATTTCAACATAGAATCAAGGTGGGGAAGGCACCAACATCCACACCAAATCCTGCCAGAAGAGCCTCACTTGAGTCCTCGATTTATCAAGGACAGTGCCATGCAGGGAAGGCCAGATAGTTGGCCAAAAAATAGGACAAAAAATTGGGGGCTAATATCCCCACATTAGAGTAAGACCAGCAGTGTACGCAGAGCACCAGTGAATAAGTCGCTGGGACCCTCCCGACGCTCCAGGCACTTCACAGGTGTCTGACTCAACATGCAAATTCCAGGATAAAGAGCAAAAGGTTGAAGTCCATAGAGTACCATACCTTAATCTGATCAAAGCTGCCACCAGATAATGCCTGAATATACTCCAGGCTGTACTTAAGGCCGGAGGGACTGAAAAATGTGATGCTGGCTGGGACACCCTAGGGGAAATGAGAAGATGAGAGCTAGCTTTGCCCCAGACAGCATTCCTCAGCTCAACTCAACCCTTCCAGCCCCAGACCCCACAGGGGCTCTGCATCGGTATACTCTCTGGCTCTGTGCCAGGGGCTCTGCTTCGGTACACTCTCTGACTTTGTGCCAGGGGCTCTGTATGGGTACACTCTGGCTCTGTGCCATTCTCAGCCCACCGCAGCAGAGTTGGAAGGATTTGTTTGTAAAGCAGGCTGAGGTGAGAGAGGCTGCAATTCTCACTGACCGAGTGCTCTGCTGGCCAGAAGACACTGACTCTGTGGATCTCAGCATCAGCAATGGAGGCACCTCCAGCCCCTGGGGTTAAACAGCCCTGATGGAATTAACAGTCTTCTTGTTGGCTTCTGTCAACTACCCACTAGGGACAGAGTAGACCACTAGCCAGCCTGCATGGTTTCTCTGCGCTGGATTGCCCATTAGAACCCCTAGAACAGGCATGGTCTGCAGGAGCTGTTCCAGGAGGGCAAAGGGATGAGACTTCTGAATGGAAAGGATAGAGCTAGCCATCAATGTAAGAAGCGCACTCCACTCTCCTGCCCCAGGTCTCCAATCCCAATTCAGACTCCACAGTGAGTTCTTCCCAGTGTGGGCCCAGCCTCTGCCCCAAGGAATGGAGAACAGAGAAAATAACAAGACCACTGTGTATTCCAGGCCTTTGTATATGGTAGATGTTACACAAGCAGCTTTGTATGAATTATCTTCTTTAATCTTTATAAAACTTTCACTGCATGGGTCTATTCCCATATCACAGACACATAAACGGAGCTGCAGAAAAGCCACTTGCTCAGTCATGTATCTGGGAATGATAGCACCCCAAGGAGAATCAACACTGCAAACTCATACCCCCAACTCACGCTCCTCCCCTGGGGCCTGCCCTTCCAGGACTTGCTCTCCCTCAAAACTCTACATACCTGATTTTCATAGTAGCTCTCCAGGTTCCCCTGGATCCCAGGGTGTGGAATTGTCTGATAGACATGCATGCTTTCCATGGGGACCCCTGTGCACAATCAAAACCAGGAGACAGGCTTCATCATACTGAGAATGGGATGGGGCTTCTGCACCCTAGTGTAGCTGATAGGGACTGTCAACCACCTCTGAGCACCAACTCCTCAGAAATGGGGCAAAAGACCCAGCCCTCTGTGGCCTGCAGAACACTGTGGAATCAATCCACAGTCGGGAAGGCTGAGTTAGCAGAGAAAGGCCCAGAAATCACAGCCTTCATCATTACCCACAGATGCCTTTGGCTCTCATGTTTGTGTGATTTTGTCCACACAGCTCTGATCCTTCATGAATCCTACAGTCATGCCAGGAGACCCAACTGCATCCCAGCTCTGTCTATACATGGCCATGTGTTCTTCCTGGGCCTCAGAACATTCATCTTCGGGGATGCCATGAGCTCATCCTAGTCACCTTTGTCCTTGAGCATTTTTGGAAGAGTATCTCCTTTGATAGTTCCACAGGGAAAGAGAAGAGGCAGTGCTGAAGATGGCCCTGTAAAGACACAACAAGACATTGTAAGAGCCGGTAAAATCTCAAAGGGAGAGGCAGTGCTGAAGACAACCCTGTGAATATACCACCACACACTGGAAAACTTGTAAAATCCCCAAGGGGGACGCTGCACAAAGCAACTCCCAGGAGGGCAAAGCCGGCCACCCCAGGCTCAGCTTTGCTGTAAGATCTCAGTTTCAGCACCTGTCACTAGGATGGGCAACCACTGTACTGTGTTAGCCTTGAAGGGTTCCATGAAGAACCACAGAGGGAATCGAGCAAAGAGCCTAGAAAACTCAGCCACAGAAACAAAGCACCACTGTCCCATTTGCTGCCTGAACTCTCTGTCAGGAGGTAGCTCCCTGGTACATGGTCCTTATCTGGAATGCAGGCCTTGTAGCCTTATAAGTAAATAAGTATGTATGTAAGTAAGAAAATAAGTATGGACTGGTACTGGCAATGGGCATATTTCCTAGCTATGGCGGGGGGGGGCAGTTCTGGATGAGCCAGGCACATGTGCAGGAGACAGTAAGGAACTGGCACTTTGGAGTGGTTCTGTAACCACCTCCAACAAAGCAAATTCCCTGCCAGTCATGCCAACAGCCTCTTAACCAAGTGCCTAAAAGGCACAGAAGACAGGAGACTGCTCCAATGGCCCTGAATCTCACTCTGCCCCACCACCTACCTCCACCTGTGGAGACCCAAGGCAATGTTCAGCCCTGAGCACTTTGTAAGTTGCAACAAAACCATCCAACCAAACTGAGGAACTGTCAGATGCAAGAACCTTCCTCAACTGTGAACACAACATGTTTTACTAAAACCAATCATTTCTTCCATATCAGATCAAGAAGTGTAATGAGTGTTGGTCATGCACAAACATCACACATTCCCTATGCCATGACAATCACTCTGAACGCACTGATGACTGAGATCAAAGGAAGAATGAAACGAACTCTCCCCGGCTAGCACTGGCTCTGAGAAGCAGTAGTTAAGTGACAAGAATAGCTGTAGGCCACTGTGTTTGAAGTACAAGCAACAGTGAGAGGCTGGTGGATGTTTTATTTAAACCACTCTGTAAATATTGGTACCAACATAGATGAGCACATGGTTTGGGAAATGACTAATATAGATCACAGCTGCCTGCTGAGTTCTCTCTCCAGTGAAGTGCTGCAGGGACCTCCAGAGCACACAGTTTTAAAGACACCCTCAGGTGTAGTGCTCGCCACCTGAGCCCAGGCGGCTCTCTTGTGTCTTTTTATGTGAGGGTTGTGGCCTGAAGGTGCAGGAAGCTGGGGAGTAAAGCTCCTTGTAGAGCACCTATGGGAAACCAAAACAATTCAACTTTCCAGCAAGCCTTGCTCCAAAGGCATGGAAGGAGCTTCTAGATGATTCTTGAATCTCCCTTGCCATTTATCTCTTCATACTGTTATTCCTAGCTGGGTTGGAAGCACAGGACTCAAGTTTCATCATTTATCCCTAAAGCTGGGCTACAGTGGTGCCGGGCTTCCTGAGGACACGGGCTTATCTGGCCAAGACCTGCCACACAGGCGTGTGGGGCTCACATATGAATAGTCAGTCAACTCGGCTGCCTTCCCAGGAAGGGACTACCCTGTGGGCACAAAAGACGGAAATGTTCCTATGGAATGGGCACCTGGAAGATTGATCACTAGAGACACAGCCCCAACTACACCAATTAGAGGAAAAGATGGGTAGACAAGGTAAGAACACACTCAACACCACAAAGAGCAATACGACACCAACAAGACTTGAACACCCAAATATAGATGAAGCAGAAGAAAATGATACTAATTTATATTTTTGGTACTGGGAATGAACCCAGGACCTCATGCATATTGGGAAAGTACTCTGACAGTTAACTATACCCCCAACTTTGAAATTGTTTTTAAAAGAAACTGATATGCCATTAATATGTATAATTTTTTGTATCAGTTAAACAATTTAAATAGAAAGATGCTCTAAATTAATTTCCATGGCTATGATAAACACTGGCCAAAACTTAGGAAAGAAGGGGTTTATTTCTGCTGACAGCTTTATAGTCCATCACTAAGGAAAGGAAGAGCAGGAACTTGAACCAAGAAACTGACTGTAGAGGAAAGCTCCTTGCCGACTTGCACACAGGTGTAGTTAGGTTTAGTAGCTTTCTTGTGCAACTCAGGGCGACCTGCCCAGGGAATGGTGCTGCCCACAGTGGGCCGGATCCTCCTATATATACGTCAATTATCAATCAAGACAATATTCCAAAGACATGTCTACAGTCCAGTCTGATCTGGGTAATTCCTCAATTAGATTCCTCAGATCACCCTACACTACGTCAAGTCGACAGTCCAAACTACCAAGACAGATGTCTGTTTCCACACTGAAAAGAAGCGTGGAGAGGGCCTCTACCTCTCCCTGACTGCTGCTGAACTCTGCAGGGGGCTCTGCCAGGGTCTGTTTGAATCTAGGAAGCCCTAGTCCAAAGTTCAAGATTTTAGGAGCAGCTTCCAGAGGAACACTAAAATGTAAAATCTAGAGACCTTCCAGCAATGGGAATAGTTTATGGCATGAAAACCTCAGAAGGACTTTAAGATATATGTTTACAGATCACAAAAGTCAGTAACACTTTGAGAAGTCATAAAAAGATTTACAGTCCTCTCTTCACCCTGATAATATACTAAGGGGAAAAGATGCCCAGCTCCTAAAACCTTTGAGGAAAACCAAAGTTATGTTAGCACTCCATCCTGCCCTTCTCCTAGTCCAGCAGACCCAAAGCAATTCCTCAGAGTGGCCAGCACATTACAGACACAGTTAGAGCCAAGACCCAGTGTTTACCTTTTCCCCAGATGTGCCCCTGTTCCAACTGCAGAGTCTGATAGCTCTGACAGAGACCTGCCTGCCAAACTGTAAACACCCAGCTGGCTGACCTTGAGAGCAGGTCCACATTCCCTCTGCTGACAGAGCAAGAGGACCCTACTCCAGTCCACGTGGCTGACACAGCTGCAAGGACACAGCTGTGTCTACAGCTGGATTAGACACAGCGAAGAGAGGAGACAGCATAGGAGGGCATTCTCAATCCCCTGTCCTCACTCCAAATCCTCCTCTGTATTCTTCAGATGCCTAAAACCCCACACTTTGCTTAAGGCAAATCACTACCTAAATCCACACAGCCCTAGGGCTGGTCCACGTGCTGACCAAAGACAACTTTATGGGAGCCAGTTCTCTGCTTGGGAGCATGTTTTGTGGGGGAGAGTGGATTTCAAGTGAGGTGGTCTTCACTTACTGGAGCAAATATATTCAGCAAGCTTTTCTGCATTTCCACTGTGTGCTCCTTCTGCATCCAGGCCGATTTTGTTCACTGGAAAATGATGAAGAGGTGAATTATTTGACAGTCAATGAAACCCTTTTAAAGTACAAATGGACAGGCACTGTTTTCCCACTCACAGAGAAGTGTCCTCTGGAAGCCAAGTAGAAAGACCACAGCTAACCCTTCCGAGATGACGGTGTCCTGGGCACACCTTCTCTAGACAGGGTCTTTGTCTTAACTAGCTTCTTTGAGCCCCATTTCATTTATGTACATGAGCCAAAAACAAGGGCCCTGTAGGACTGTCTTAGGCTTATGTGATAATGAGGTCAACTGTTGGCATCTGATTATCAGTCAGGAGGTGGTGAGCATTTGGGACCACTAAGTTTTGTAAGCATCTCTTTAAAGGGCCCTCATTTCATTAGGGAAATGTGAGCAGCTCCCTTCTAGAAAAGGATAATGGGCTGACATGGCCAGACCAGAATGGAGGGGGCAGAGAAAATGTTTCACAACAACCAACAAGGACCCATATCGCTATGGACACAGGTAACTTAGGGAGGATGCTATCCCAGCTCTCTCAATGTAGTCCTGGAGCTCTCTATATAGGCTAGTCTGGCCTCCAACTCAGAGATCCTCCTGCTTCTTCCTCTAGGGTGGTGGGTGGGATTAAAGGCATTTGCCACCATATCCAACAAAGCTCTCCTTGGAGAGAACAAGAAGCAGACAGTGAAGGCTCCTTGCCTTTTCCAGACAGAGGATGTGGACAAAGGAAGGGCCCCACTCAGCATTGCTACCTGCACAGAGTAACACGTGACTTCCAGAGGAAAGGTATATGGTGGATATTGCGTTTAGGAGCCATACAACTGGTACCTACGCTCTCACCAATGACAGTTTCAATGGCAACACCATCAGCTTTTCATTCCTGGAGCATTAGACATGTACTATGACTGAGGGAAAAACCTCCTGCAGGTGTAAACTCTCTTCAGGACCAAAGCTGTCCCTGCACTGCACTGCTGACCCATGCTACCAGGGACAAGTGAACCAAGAAACCTGAAGTCCCCAGGAACTGAACTGAGACAGGAGGACTTAATAAGGCTGGTCCTTAATACAGGAGGCATGTGTGGTCCCTTATCCCTGCTTTGCCATTTCATTTCCCTTCACTTCAGCTACTGTTGGCCAACTATGGCCTGAAAATACTAAATGGAAAATTCCAGAAATAAGCAGTTCATAGGTTCCAGGCTGTACATGGGCTGAGTATTAAATCTCACCCACCCCATCGAGGATTTGAACCTTCATCTTCCCACGACTCCTTACCTAGAGAAGCGGTGGCACTTCCAACCACATACACAGACTTGGCATTCCATCTGTTTTTCAGAGACTTTTCCCAGTCTGCAAAACATGGAATTATGTATGAGCTACACATACAAAGTGGCCATCTGGATATTGTTAAGATGGCTTTCTTCTTTATTCTAAGGCCCCAGCCTTCACTTTAGCAGGAGACTGAGCACTCAGTCTCCAAAGCAAGCCAGCTACTTGTGCAAGGAGACAACAGTAACAGCACCACCAGCCCCATCCCTCACCGAACACTCTGTCCCTGAAAACGTCCTGGACGCTCCTCTATGGGACCCAGACTATGCAGTGTTCATCAAACACCTGTGGATCAAGACACCTTGCAGAGAGCAGACATATGACATGTTCCAGCTAGTGAGGAGAATAACCCCATGGTTTGGGTATTATGGAGTTTACTCCAAGGCCAGGTCACCAAGGGGAAGAGAGGTCAAGGAGCTCACAGCGGCCAGGCTGGCTGCATGACTACAGAATTCCAAAGCCTCAGCACTCACCATCTCTCAGGTGCTGCTCCCACTGGAAGAACTCCCCAGGCCTATGTTTTGACTGTATGTGAGGTAGGTTACAGGACTGTGCACGCCTCCAGACTACATTTAGCACTCCGTCTGGAGCCTGGGTGTCAGGAAATGGGTTGAGTCACTACATACTGCTGTAATGCAGAACAAGGAACGGCCATGTCGAGAAGGTTATAGCAGGGCCATGAAGCATTTCCCCACTTGAGTAAAGTATCACTTTACTCTTTCAGAGGAAGAAATTGGCACGACATACAAGTGAACATTTAAAAGGCAATTGAGGGGCTCATGAGACACAGTTCAGCAGGTACAGACAATTGCCATCAAGCCTGACGATCTGAGTCTGATCCCTGGGGCCCATAGGGTGGAGGAGAGAAGCAGCTCCTGGGGACTGTCCTCTGATTTCTACACACATAATCACAGCATGTACACAATAAAGAAGTAAATAATAGTAAAAATGATAAAATAAAACAAATAAATAAATGGCAAGTGAGAGTACCCTCTCAGTCATGTCTGTGTGGGGACTAGCGGCACCTGTATGCCAGCATGCCCAGACCCTCGGTTTTCTGTTGGGCATGTAGCTACCTCTGGACTGCAGCGTCTCAGAACAGAAACGAGAGTAAGAGTCTGGTGGAATCCAGAGCAGACCCGCCCTCACCTTCAGTCTTATTGTCCTTCTCCAGACACAGCTTCACTGCTTCCACTGCCCTGGGACTGGTGAAAATGAGTCCTCCAAAGCCTTCAGGATGAGACAGCTGCACCAAGACCAACAGATGCTGCCTTAGTCTCAGCTGCTTGAAGAACTATGAGCCCGAGCCCAAGTGTGTACGCAAAGGAGTGGGCAACTATCTAGTCCTATCCTGATACCCCTCCACCCACCTGACACTTGTCTAGTGCTGACTCTGGGCCTGGAGCCACTCTGGGCTTCTGGTAAGCCACTTCACTGTCACGGCCCTTCCCTTCAACTCCTCCTTGGGCAGAGACACACAGCTGCAACCCAGGAGATGAGCAGAACAGAGGGGCAATCTGACCCAGCATGGGATGGGTGAGTGGAGTAAGATGCAGGCAGGAGGGCAAACTTGATCTGGATCCATAACACAGCTAGACTTCCAAGGAGGTAAAACCCAGCCGAAGCCTGGGCTTCAAAGACAATACTTTGCCGAACACTTCTTCTGAGCCAGGCGGTGAGCTGCTGCATACACCTGACTTTACTCAAGGTGTCTGCATCACATCTTAGTTTTTTGCATTACTGGGTACTGAACATGCTCTACCCACACTCAGCACACCCTCAGACCACCACCAATCTGAAACATCTGGAGGCTTCACTGCCTGGCGCCTGCAGTATCTCTCAAGTACTGAGTACAGCAAAGTGGTGGGCAGAAGCCTTGGGCTTGGATTTGGTCCTCCTTACTGGCTAGGTGTCTGACTTGGTTGCTACACAAGAGCTCGCTCTGAAATTGGAAACATCTGCTGAGTCTTCTGTGCACAGGCCAGTGATGGACTCAAAGGGCCTTAACTCTGAAAGACATGCTGGTGGGGCCCTATCTCCAGGGCCCACAGCTTCCTGACAAAGCAGATAGAGGCATGGGGGGAGAAGCTTATGGGGAGTCTCCAGCACCCAGGTGAGTATGTCCTGCCCTTGCGTTCATGTCTAGTGGTAAAATGAGGCTAACACTCTTGTGGCTTGGGCTGACAAGGTTTCTACAGAGGACAAGCCCTAGCATGGGGTTCTTACCTTTTCTGACAAAATGGGAAGAGACAGAAACTCAAATGACAGAACGGGAATTAGCGTAGCTTCCAGTCCGTACAATCCCAGTTCCTATAAATGAAAGAATATCATTTTTGGTTGGCCAGGGCTGTCTTGAAAAATAAGGAAAGGTCATGAAACCACATTAACTGTATCTGAAAATAAGGGAACATGGCATCACGTTAACTATTATGCATCAAGCTCACTGAGTTTTAGCATCCCAACCCCATCTCCATTAGCAAGGAAGTCCTAGTTTAGAGACCAAGGAATAAGGCTCAGTCCCTTACCTGGATATACGGATCCTGGCCACTGTCATCATCCTTGGCATCTTTCAATAAGAGAACCTTCATTGTCGTTGGCAGTCCTTATGAGAGACACTGGGACAGAGCAAGGAAACCGATCTTAGTTAGATCTCAAAGACTGTTCCTAGGCAATGCGGTAAGGGGACAGAGGACAAGAATCGTCTGTGTATAGCTAACTGGGTGTGGTCTTTCACAAGACCCCTGTTGCTGATAAAGTCAAAGGAGAGCGTGTTAGCAGCTGATAGTGCCTGGAAAGAAAGGCAAGTGAGAGCCACTAGTGAAGCCAAGTGACAGCAGACTGTGGCAGCCAATAGAGAAATGAGTGCCTTAATTTTGAGGAGGTAAATAATTAAGAAATGATTTCCTTTTCAAAATAAATAAACTAATAAGTCCTTCAGCTATAATGACTTTTCCACATCTCAAGGCATATTTATTAAATATTACCAAGTTTCCCAAGGTAATCTATCAACCTGGAAACAATTGAGCAACATGTACCATCTTACATAATTCATACCCTTTCTTCCTGTAATTTTACTTCTGAGAATAAATACAAGAATCAAAACCATGCACAAAGATCAGCATAAACAATTTCATTCTAGGTGGGATATAGTGGCATACGCTTTTAATCCAAGCCCATGGGAGGCACAGGCAGGTGAGCTGATGTCTACATAGCCATTTTCATGCCGGCAAGGGCTACACAATGAGATTCTGTCTCAAAAACAAAAACAAAAACAAAAAAAAAAACAAAACAAAAACACAAAAACCCGCTATCATCACCACTGATATAGGAGATTCTTCTGTCTCATTGGTTGAATAAAGAAACTGCCTTGGCCTTTTGATAGGGCAGTCTATAGGTGGGCAGAGTAGACAGAACAGAATGCTGGGAAGAAGGGCAGTGAGGCAGATACCATGAATCTCTGGCCTGAGACGGACATAGGTTAGAATCTTGCTGGTAAGCCACAGTCACGTGGTGATACACAGATTTACTAGAAATTGGTTAAATCAAGATGTGAGAGTTGGCCAAGAAAAGGTTAGATATAATGGGCCAGGCAGTAATTTAATTAATACAATTTCTGTGGGATTATTTCGGGGGCTAAGCTAGCCAGGCAGCCGGGACAAAAAGCAGGCCCGCGTCCTCCTACTACACACCACCACCAAAAACTTATTGGTCATCTCTATAATTTCCAATAATTGGAAACAATATAAGCATCTAATGAGAGGTTGGTTAAGTAGACTATTATGCAGGTTTTAGAAAAATCATTAAATATTGACAAATAACCTAACTGCATGGGTTACCTAATCAAACATGTTAAGTAAAATATGCAAGAGTAGTTACATAAGTAGTAGGGTTTTATGTATAAATGCATGAGAGAACATATCCAAATACTAATAGCACTTATTTCTGAACAGGTATTAGTATGATTTTTCTTCTTTTCCTTTTCCTTATTATCCAAAAGTGTTATAAGCATTATCTTCCTGGTTATATTGAGACATTAAAAAAAAATCATACAATGATCTCACAATAAATGCCAGGCAAGACTAGCAGAGTAAATCTGACTGAGAGAAAGACCATCATACTGTAGACAATGTTAGACCAGAGAATACATTTGGGATGGAAATGAGTGAAGTTTGGGGAATCAATGATTTTCAAGTACTACTGATTACACTGACGGCTGGAATATCTGGCTCAAAATGAGTTGCTCTACATCTAAGTAACCAAATCCAGCTAAATTGATAAGAATTATGAAAAACCATTCTAGTTATTGTTGTTATCCAGGTGTCAGAGAAATGGAGCAGGGGGGGACAACGGACAGATGGTATGGTTTCTATCACTTCCTGGAGTTCTCAAAGTGTCTCACCCAGAAGTTAGGACCCTTCCCCTCTATGGTGGTCACATCTTGTGTCATTTCAGTTTTCCAAGCTTTATAATAATAATTCTTACTTTTATTTTACTGTCTTGATTTGTTTTTTAAAAATATTTATTTATTTATTATGTATACAATATTCTGTCTGTGTGTGTGCCTGTAGGCCAGAAGAGGGCACCAGACCCCATTATAGATGGTTGTGAGCCACCATGTGGTTGCTGGGAATTGAACTCAGGACCTTTGGAAGGGCAGGCAATGCTCTTAACCTCTGAGCCATCTCTCCAACCCTCAATTTGTTTTTTGGAGATAAAATACAACACTGTAGACAGCTCAGACTGTCTAGAACTATATGGCCCAGGTTGGCCTTGAATTTAAGCCTCAGAAATGCTAGGATTATAGGTATGTTACTACTTGACTTTGAGTGAAAAGAGCTCAAGAGATACCCCCAGGGTGTATCTCTGAGGGTGTTTCCAGAGAGAACTAAAGGGAAAAAGACCTATGAAGTGCCATTTCATTTGTATTCTACTAAAGTTTGCTTAAGAATCAGAAAAGTAGGGGGCTGGAGAGATGGCTCAGTGGTTAAGAGCACCGCCTGCTCTTCCCAAAGGTCCTGAGTTCAATTCCCAGCAACCACATGGTGGCTCATAACCATCTGTACGAGATCTAGTGCCCTCTTCTGGCCTGCAGGTAGAGTACTGAGAATACTGTATACAAAATAAATAAATAAATAAATCTTTAAAAAAAAAAAAAAGAATCAGAAAAGTAAAACAGCCACACTGGCCAGCCTTACAGACCAGGCAACAATGACGTGCACGTTTAATCCCAGTAGCCACACTAGTTTGCCATAGAAACCAGGAGGTAGTGGTGCACGCCTTTAATCCCTAAATACAGAGGATTATAAAACAGGAGGAGACAGCTCTGTCTCAGTCTCATTCTAAGATTCCTGGAGGCAAGATCGCCATTTTGGACTGAGTTAAAGAAAAGAGCTGTTTCGCTTTTTCTGGTCTTCAGGTTGAACCCCAATTTCTATTCCTGAGTTTTTATTAATTGTGCTTCAGACCTACCTCTGAATGCAGGTGGCTTCATCCTATAAAAGAAAGGTCTGGATGGCAAAGGAAAGCACCCATACTTCCTGCTCTACAGTACAAATCTTAGCCCCATAATAGTCTAACTTCTGAAACCACGAGCCAAAATGAATGGCTACTTTCTCTAAATTGTCCTCTGTGTCCTTAAGCCACAACTATGGAAAACCAATCAACAGCTAGTTTCCACTTATTAACAAATGGTGACCCAAGTGCTGCTAAGTAGGTACTTACAGATTGACCTAGTCCACTACTGATGGACTTTTGTTCTTATTTTTCAAGACAGTGTTTTCCTGTGTAGCCCTGACTGTCTTGGAACTCACTCTGTAGACCAGGTTTGCCTTGAACTCAGAGATCCACCTGCCTCTGTCTTCTGGGTGCTGGAATTAAAGGTGTGCGCCACCACCACCTGGCTTAACAGTATTTTTTTCCTTTTTCTGATGGACTTTTAGGAAGGAAGATCACCTCAGATAACTTTGGGGAGCCTCACTCAATCAGTCCACAGGCATTACCAAGAGCAGCATGAATTAACAAGAGCAAGAATTTTCCCAAAATAGGAAAATTCTATGTCTAGACCAGCTTTGACTTGAACAGAGCCCCAGCCTGCGTGTTCCATTGGCCTGCCCTTCTTGTTGGTTTGTACAGTGCGTTTCAACTTGCCTTGCCAACCCCACAATTATGCAAGGCAATTTTTTCTAGTATATTTCCTAATATATATATATCTCCTTAGCTCTGTTTCTTGGCTCAGGCCTAATGTACCTTCCAATGGCAGCTGTAGGAATCTAGTATGAAATTAATGACAAGTAAAATCTAGCATTTTCTGCTAAAGGATGAATTCTTCTGGGGTCCACAATGAAAGCAACAAAAGTGGGGATTAAAAAAGCCAAAACAGGGGGCTAGAGAGATGGTTCAGTGATTAAGAGCACTGCCTCCTTTGCTAAAGATCCTCAGTTCAATTCACAACAACCACATGGTGGCTCACAATCTTCTGTAATGAAATCTGGTGCCCTCTTCTGGCCTGCAGGCATACGTGCAGGCAGAACACTGTATACTTAATAATAAATCTTTTTTTTAAAAAAAAAAAAAGTCAAAACAAGCTAGGACTGTTTCACAAAGAAATCCTATCTTGAAAAACAAAAACAAACAAACAAACAAACAAATAAATAAGAAAGCCAAAACACGAGGCTGTGGATAACAGGTAATCCTGTGGCCTTGCAGTGTTCTTCAACCTGCTATGTCCCGGCCACGGTCCCATGATCCCAGGTTCTAGCATACAGGTCCACATTCTACAGAGAACATTTTGGTAATGCTAAAAAAAAAAAAAACCAAAAAGAAAAAACCATAAAGTCAGCCTCACACCTGTCTTTCTAGCTCATTGTTCAGCAGTGCGGCCTAATCCCCTGGGCCTGGAAGCCTCATGAGTCAGGTCTCCAGGATTTACCTGAGGTTGAGTGTATAATTCCAGGTACTAGCACGTGCTGTGTGGTGATACAGTAATAACTAGGGTTCTGACAGTTGTAAGGGTTACCTTTCCATGTACCAGGAACACTGTTCTGGGGAGGTGACATCTGAATTGAAATCTGAATGACAACAGCAGAGGCCAGAGGAACAGCCAGCGCTCTGCCGAGCAAGCACCTGGTCCTGGATTAGACCTGGATGACAGTAGTAAGAAATGTCAGGTGTCACAGGGAATCCAGGGCGGCTCCATGAAAGAACAGGTTTGGCTCAAGAATAAAGGTCAAGGAAAGCTTTGGATTTCTTTTAAGCCAGTGAATGGCCTTAATCCTAGGAGTGAGTTTTCTATCTCTTTAATGAAATGCAGTCATTTCCCCAGTTCCAAAGATGCTGAGTAAATTTAAGGTGTTTTTCTACAGCATGAACAAGCAACGCTAAGGAGCAAAACTTCAAAAAAGCCAATGTCTGAAAGGCCACCAGCTCCAATTTACCCATAAACTCTCTGGACTAACCCCAACCTGGATTCCAGGAGTGGCAAGCGCTTATTACAGACTGCCCTCCACACACAAATGTTCCCATGTCTGACTCCACTGTGCTATCCCTAATGCTCATAACCACTGCTAGTTCCATGTACACGATTTTCTTTCCTTTCTCACTTTTTTGTCATGAACATGCTCTTGGCTGTCTTGCTGCTGGTAATTACAGAATGTATCCTGGGCCCTGGTCCTTTCTGGCTACCACACATAGGCTCAGCAAACCCTTTATCTCAGAGAATGCCTGCTCACAAAACTTGCTGAGTACTAGACACGCAGAAGAGCAGCTATTTGGGCATCTCACGGTCCGGTCAAACTGACAGATCAAATTGTCAGAGTGGACTAAGCATTTACAATCCTCACTGAAGCCTGTAAAGTCGCTATTATCCTCATTTTACAGGAAGGGAAACCATGGCTCTTAATCTGCCCAAGGTCAGCAGAATAAATGGTAGAAATAGAACCAGAAGCTGGATCTGAAGCCCAGGGCTCATCCACCTAACCACTGGCTCCCAGCTGACCTTTAAGACAAAGCCTGTGCTAAGAAGGAACAAGGGAGCCAGATGTTGTCAATGCGCAGGGAGGCCACCTAGTCACAGGCGCTACTCTAATGCATGCCCTGACCACAGGCTCCAGATTTGGGGCTGATCGATCTGAGGGCACAAGGAGAGTCTTTCCCTTTTTCCACCTTGTGAAGCAATCCAGGGGGCTGCAGAAAGTGATACTGGGGAGCTGTTGTTTTGTTTGTTTGCTTGCTTTTCTGCACGTGCATGTGTACCTGATGATGATAACTGCTCTCACTCTTCTGCTCCGGAAGCTCATTTTTTGAGAACAGGTCTCTCTTGAGCCAGAAGCTCGCTGATTAGTTGGCCAGTGAGTCCTGGATCCACCTGTCTCCATCCGACCCATCATCCCAGTGTTGGGGTTACGGCTACAGTAGGTGGGTGCTGGGAAATGCAGGCACATCAAGCATTTTGCCCACTAAGTCATCTCACACCCTGAACCTGGGGAACTGTTAATAGTGGTGATGGCTGTGAAACGGTATGGATCAACTTAGGTCAACAACTATGTGCTTAAGTATTAAACTTTGTTTTGCATATTTTACCATAACGAAAAAACCAATAAGACTTAGGGGAAATTGTTCTTGAGTTTCTGTGCAATTCTATGGGCATGCTTTAATCTTTTTTCTATTATTAGCCTTGCAATAGGTATTCATTAAAGGAACATGGTTTTGGACAGTTACAAAACCCAAGGCAGCCATTTTAAGTCAACTTTATCAGAGGTGGAGTCCTGGTGTTATTACTGTCCATGATATAGCCCGGTAGACACAAAATGCCCGGGACACCTGAGTCTCACATAGTACCATCATGGGGACTCAGGGTTAATGGGGGCCTTGGTATCTTGATATCTCCACCTGATGAAGGTTCATTGGGGTTATTCATAGTTCCTAAATTTCTCTGGCAAAGGCTTCCTTACTTCTAGGGGCAGCTCACTCTGGTTTGGGAGTCAAAGGTATCTCATATGCTGCCGTTATTTTACAGAGAAAAGGGAGAACCGCAGAGCTTCTTGCCAGGAAGCTAATGTTTTCCCTAGTTAATGATCTTTCTCGATAACCTTTACAAGGAGCTGCAAGTCGGTCGACTGTGTGACAACCCTGACCGTAGACCTGATTTATCTGATACAAGTTTTAACCGTCAGGATATTCCTTGCAAAAATCTGGTTTCTGTTGAACTCTGAAACGTTGAACCAGTCAGTAATTCATTTAGCCACAAGCAGTGGCAGAGGAGGAGTACACTTGCTAACTTGCCGCAATCACTTTCTTTCTGTTCTATTCTTACCAAACAAGTCTTTTAAAGACACCGTCGGCCTGTGGCTGCAAAAGACCTCTAGTCTTCTTAGAACTTTTTTATGGCGATGGAGCGGGATCGGCCCCTGCCAGGATCAGCGGACCTTATGGCGCGGACTTCACCAGCGCCAGTCCCTTAGTTGGCAGCTGCACCGGGTCTCTGCCCCGCGATGTCACGGATCGCTAGGGCCTGCGTGCACGTCCACGGGCCTGAGTCCTAGCCGGGTCCTGAGCCCGACACTCACCTCACGGGCTAAGAAGCAGGACCGAACTGCACGCCGCGGGGCAGGAACCTAGCGGTCCCAGCCGAGGCTGCTAAGCACAGACAACCAGGAGCCGACCCTCACCCCACAGTCAGCTGTCCCCGCCCTCGTACCTCAGGCTCGTGGAGCACCCGCCCACATCTGGCTGGGCACCACACCGGCCTCCACGCGCCGGCGGAAGGGACGCAGGGGATGGTCCAAACTACTGCGCACAGAGGGGGAGACCCGGAGAGAATTAGGAGGGCGGGAGGATGCAGGGAAGAAGAGGAGGTCTGACCATGACCCCAGTGGGGAGGACAAACGGGCAGATTAGTCCTGTGGGACTCATCAACGTAGCTCTCTATGTCGCGCCGACTTCACGGCGAACTTCTTGGTCCGGTCTACCTCTAATCCGGAAGGGAAGGGAAGCGGCCTGCGCAGGCGCAGTGTGGCCGGCATCATGGCTTCCAGAGCTAAGAAGCGAGCGGTGGGAAACGGGGTCCAGCGGCCGCTGGGAGCTCAGGGCCACCACGAGGAGGAAGAAGAGGATGAGATGGAAGACGAGGAAGAAGACGATGAAGACAGTGACGAAGAAGAGGATGAAGACGAGATAGTGGACGAGGTGAGGCACACGTGGCCATATTTTTGGCGTAGATCTGAGTGGGGGAAAACCTTCAGGCAACTTTTCCCAAGCTGTGGGAAAGTGACAGTGGTTGTGGGGAGTTGTGATTTCCCGTCGCTGTGGTTCAGGAGCTGAACCGGACGTGGCACGTTCTTCACGCTTCCCTACACATTCCCTTAAATCCTTCCCGGCTGAGTTATCCACTACCCTCCTTGAGCCCGCCAGCCTCCACCCCCTCTTCCGTATTTGTGCTTCTTTCATTAACATGGAAAATCTAACCTTGACTGCCAATGACTAAAAACGTGTGTACCGCAATCTTAAACTGGGAGAAGGGAACCTCAGATGAGGGATTGCCTCCATCACATTTACCTGTCTGTGGGTATTTGCTTAATTAATGATTGACGTGTGAGAGGCCGTCCCACTGTGAGATGGTCTTGGGTGGTCTTGGGTGGTAAACAGTGGTCTCTTCTTCAGTTCAGGCCTTGAGCTCCTGTCCTAACTTCCCGCCATGAGGAACAATTACCTGGAAGTGTAAGATAAAAGAAACCCTTTCCTTCCCAGGTTGCTTTTGGTCGAGCTGTTTATCATAGAAACAGAAAGAATGCCAACAGAAAGAATAATAATGTATCAATAGAAGCACTTGCACACTCTGTTGGTGGGAGTACAAATCTGTGCAATCTCTTTGGAGGGTAATCTGACAGGATTTATCAAAATTTAAAGTGCCTCTAACTCCTGGCTCAATAATTTACCCTCTAGAAATTGACAGTGATAATAATAACAGTATTAAATATACTACCCCCCGGGTCTGCATTTTGTATTAATTCATTTAGTTCTCACATTAGCGCCTTGAACTTAGGAATTATCACTGTTTTACAAGTGAGACCACAGAGCAAGTTAAGGGGAAATATGTATATATAGTTATGTGGAGGAAAAAAGAAACAACGGCGGTGGGGGGGGGCAGGGATCCATCAGCTTGTGTGTGTGCTTTGTGAGAGCAGGAGTATGATGCTAAGGCTAGGAAAGGCTTTCTCACTCAGACCTTAGCGGTCAGAGTAGCTTTTGTTTTGTTTTTGGTTTTCGAGACAGGATTTCTCTGTAGTTTTGGAGCCTGTCCTGGAACCTAGCTCTTGTAGACCAGGCTGGCCTCGAACTCACAGGGATCTGCCTGCCTCTGCCTCCCTAATGCTGGGATTAAAGGCGTGCACCACCACCGCCCGGCTAGAGTAGCTTTTGCCCCTCACGTATGTCTTTAGATTTTTTTATGTGTGTGTGTTTTGCCGGCATATACATGTACCACATGCATGCTGTGCCCACAAAGGTCATACAAGGCATACAACCCCTTGGGGTTGGAGTTACAGATGTTTGTGAGCCTCCATGTAGATGCTGAGATTTGAACCTGGGTCCTCTGGAAGAGCAGAGCCAGCCCAACAGAAGAAATTATTAGAGAGCTTTTAGGGCAGGTCTCCATTTTGAAATCCTTAGTGGGTATTTCCTTATTTAATTGAAGAAGGCTTTCATTTTCTGATACATTTATTCACCCACAATTAATGTCTCTGATGTAAAAGACTATTAAAAATTATCTTGGAAGATCAGAATCAATCTTAAATCTTTTTTTTGTTTGTTTGTTTTTGTTTTTTGAGACAGGGTTTCTCTGTGTAGCTTTTTGGAACTTGTCCTGGCACTCACTCTGTAGACCAGGCTGACCTCGAACAGAGATCCACGAACTTCTGCCTCCCAAATGCTGGGATTAAAGACATGTGCCGCCGCCACCACCCAGCTCAAATCATTTTAAAACAAAACAAAAAAAACAATGGTATATCAGGAATAAAGGAACGCGCATAGTTCAAGTCCTATAGAGCCTAACTTAAAGGACAGATGGAGGTAGCTGGCTTTTTCTGTTGGATTCTGTTGCGTGCTGCTTACTAAAGAAGTTAGGGGGCTGGGGACATGTGCCTTCTTCTAGCCTCTTCGATTCACCATTTCTCCTGCCTTAGGGGCTTGTATTGCTGTTCCCCATGCCAGGAAACCTCCTCCCCTATTCTCAGTTCATGTCACTTTTTAAAGCAAGCTTTTCTTGACTTTCTGATTTCCTAGTTTTAAGCTATAACAGAACAGTATATCTTTTTTAAAAAAACATGTATATATGTATATATGTATTTATGTATATGTATGTGCCATAGCCACATGTGTAAATGTCAGAGGGTGCTATAGGAGTTTACTCTACCACGGGGGTCACGAGGCTCGGTGGCAGTGCCTTTACTCCTGAGCTATCTTACCATCATCCCTATCTTCTTTTACAAATTCATTTATGACAACCCCCCACCCCGTGTGTGTGCACATACACACACTCATATGCCACAGTACAGGTGTGGAAGTCAGAAGACAATTTGCAGCACCCAGTTCTGTCTTCCCACCATCTCAGTCCAGGGACTCATGCAGTCGGGCTTGGCAGTAAGTGCCTTTACCTGCTGCACTCTCTCCAGCCTGCCCCCGCCTTGTGAATGGCACATACAGTTGCAAACTTTAGACTCATTTTCTGTCTTCTGTGTCTGCTCCATAGCAGCAGAATTATTCACATCTGCTTTGCTCACCAGTCCATCGCTTACATATTTATTTGCTTAGAGGCGTGGTCTTGCTACAGTCACTTGTTTGGCCTTGAATTCACATGTAATCCAACTTTACCTTGAACTCCCATTCTCCCTGCTTCACCCTCCTATGCTGGATCACAGGCCTGTGCCACAAGGCACGGCTTTACCATTTTTTCTCAAGTGTTTGGTACCTGCTGTTACTTAGTAAACATTTGCTAAGTGAACAAAGTACAGCTTCACATCTATGGGCAAATTAAACTTAGGTAATTCTGTAGACTTGAAGTGAGCTTGTCTTTACAGGTGCTTTTGGAAGCCGGGTGAAGAATCCTTTGATTCCTTCTTTGTGGCTGCCTGACAGCTGTATCTAGAGGACACATTTGTCACCAGTGTTTTGTTCCCTCAGACTTTGCGTCACATGAGGAAATGGCATGAATGGCCTCTGTAACCTGTCCAGGTGGCAAGCCTGGAAGTGTTTACCTTTTTTTTTTTAAAAACTTTTCTTTGAGAATGAGTCTCCCTGTGAAGACCAGGATGACCTCAAAATTAAGATGTTCTTCCACCCCTCCCCCGAACCTGCTGGTTGGCATTGCAGACTTGTAGCACCCTCCTGGTTTTAGGCTTGCTTGTTTCGAAGCCTGACATTGATAATTATTTAGGTAACTTTCCCTCCCTCCCTTCCCTGGTTTGAAACAACATCTTGCTATGTAGCCTGGGCTGGTCTCAGAGTCTTGATCGTCCTTCCTCTATCTCCCAAGTTGCTGGTTTGCACTGCCACATTAGACTAACATTTCATGTTTTCTCCACCCCACCTCCCTGAGGCGTTTTCTGCAGGTAGAGAGGAGCCCTAAAAGAATGGAAACTGAGGGAAAAGAAAAATTTACAAAATGGAAATGCTGCCTGTATCATTTCTAAACCTGTGATGATCTATTTACAGGAAGTGAATATTGAATTTGAAGCTTACTCCATCTCAGATAACGATTATGGCGGCATTAAGAAATTACTGCAACAGGTATGGTCTTTCCAGAATCTCCACGCCTGTCTTCTGCTCTCTCCTTTTCTAGGGTGAATGGCTCTTTATGCCCCTTCGCTCTGCCTCGCCCCTGGTTACTGTGTTTAAGTTTGCCATGTCCTAGAATGCTTTCCTTTCCATGTGCTCACTGCCTGAGATACCGCTAGTCTCTCTCCTGTAGTTCACATTCAAACTAGGGCAAAAAAGAGTTTGGTTTACACTTCAGAGGGGATGCTGTCCACCATGGCAGGGAAAGGGTAATAAGGGCCGGAGGCAAGCCTTACATAGCATCAGTAGCTCAGAAGCAGGGCATCAGTCCTTATATGATAGCCACATAACTGCACCTGCTGGTGCCCAGAGTCCACACTGCTGCCTTACTCTGCCTTTACCTCCGATAACATGGCCTGTGTTTATCTTCCTTCCATGCCTGTTTGCTGATCACTATTGGCTGTGTCTTTTCTGAAATTTCTTCCACTCTGGATTTTTGTTTTCTTGCTGGGGTTACTTTTCTCAGCCATCTTGATCAGGTCATTACATTGCTTTTGTTTAGATAACAGAATCAACATGTTACTAGAAATTGTGCTTTGATCTTAATTTGAAAGTTTTTTTTTTCCTCCTTTAAGCTTTTCCTAAAAGCTCCCGTGAATACTGCAGAGCTAACAGATCTCTTGATTCAACAGAACCACATTGGGAGTGTGATTAAGGTAAGTGGGGCGATTGATACTACGGGAACTTCGTCCTCTTTGGCTCCAGCAGAAAGAAGTAATAGCAAGGACTGCCCAGAGGCCACTGCAGTGGTCCAGGACTCCATGGTCCTGGACTCCATACATGCAGGACTCCAGGCATCAGCGATGGGAAGGGGAAAAGAGGACTGACTTAGAAGATACCTGGGAGGTGAAATATGATATGGTTTAGTGTACTCGGTTCTGAGTGACAGATAGTCAAGGATGACGCACAAGTTCCTGCTAGAGCAGTGAGGTTAGCAAACGTAGAAGAAAGGTTAAGGGGATGACCGCATCATGGAGTTTGTGTACTTTGAGTCTGGGGTGCTTGAGTGTGTGTGTGAGATCCTGAGCAGCAGCAGCTAGAGCCTTGAGTTTTCAG